AAAAAAAAACAATATGAAAAAAAAAATACCGAAATGATTTAGAATGTGGAGTAAATCAAACTTTCGATAAAAACACAATTTCTTTAGAAGAGATTTATGAATTAAAAAATTAAAAAAACAGGGAACATTAGCTGAGAGGATTCGAGCAGGAGGGGCAGGAATCCCGGCGTTCTTCACTCCCACAGGGTACGGGACGATAATCCAGGAGGGAAATGTTGTGGTAAAATACGATAGTGAAAAAAATCCAGAGATATCCGGAGAACCTCGAGATATCCAGCAGTTCGATGGTCGCGAGTACATAATGGAGAAGGCAATTACTGGAGATTTTGCATTGATAAAAGCTTGGAAAGCAGACAAGGCGGGTAATCTCGTCTTCAGGAAGTCCGCCAGGAATTTCAACCCAGTGATGTGCAAGGCTGCGAAAATAACGATCGTCGAGGCAGAGGAGATCCTGGAGGTCGGACAATTGGATCCTGATCAAATCCACGTTCCAGGGATTTACGTCAATAGAATTGTCAAGGGCAGAACTTATGAGAAACGAATCGAGAGACTCAAGACAAACGTTGAAGTCAAGTCGAAAAAAACAACTCCAGCCAGCAAAGCCAGAGATCGAATTATTCGTCGTGCTGCACTCGAGTTCAAGGACGGAATGTATGCTAATTTGGGTATTGGAATGCCCATGCTGGCTAGCAACTTTATTCCGAAGAATATTAAAGTTACTTTGCAGTCGGAGAACGGAATTTTGGGACTGGGACCTTTCCCCGCTGAGAACGAAGTGGATGCTGATTTAATTAATGCGGGGAAGGAATCAGTTACCACTCTGCCAGGGGCATCCTACTTTGGTAGTGATGAGAGCTTCGCCATGATTCGTGGGTAAGTTTTACATTAATTGGTCTGCATAAAAAACAATCACTTTGGCAATATAATTTTGAAAAAAAAAAACTGGAATAATTTTCATAATTTAAATACATGCAAGGGATTCCAGAATATGCAATAGTCATGAATTTTTCCAGAAGAGATCTGTTTGAGAGAAATATTTCATGTTGAACTTCAATTTTGACAGAACAAATTCACATGATTATTGGATTCGTTGGTTACACTTTCAGGGGGCACATTGACCTGACAATTTTAGGCGGCATGCAAGTCTCCCATACTGGTGATCTCGCCAATTGGATGATCCCTGGATCAATGGTCAAAGGAATGGGAGGTGCCATGGACCTTGTCTCAGCTGCTGAAACTAAAGTGGTTGTGACGATGGAGCATAAAGCCAGAGATGGAAGCCCGAAAATTCTTGAGAAATGTAATCTTCCTGTCACAGGTAATTCCAATCAAAGTTCTATGATTTCAATGAATTTATTATCCCGCAGCAACCTTAAATAATAATTATCCACAAAGAAACAGAATTATTTAAAAGTTGTCATTTTTATTCGGAAAATGAAATTCCGTCAGAATTTTTATGAATGAAAAAAACAATGATTTCATTGTAATGAATAGGTCAACAATGCGTGGACATGATCATCACTGATTTAGCTGTATTCGAAGTAATTAAAGGAGAAGGCCTAAAGCTGATAGAACTGGCTCCAAACGTTGACATCAGCGAAGTCGTAAGTTCCACTGGCTGCGAATTCGCCGTAGCTGAAGACCTCAAAGTTATGGGACAAGTAAATCTCGAAGAGGAAAGTTAAGCTCTTCACATCAAGTGATCACTTCTGTTATTGTTTAATTTATTTTTTACAGAGATATTTTGTATAAAAAAAACAACACGAAATTTATATATATGTAATTAATTGAATATTCTGTAAATGTAGAGTGTATTAAAAGTATTATTTTATACGTCATTCAACATTCTAAAATGTTACGTTTTAAATATTATTTTAGTAACAATTAATAGTGATTTTATCGAGGAACTCCACATCCCGTCAATCTATTCCCTAAATTTAGCTTTGACTCTTGCAGGCAAGGGTAATAAATAAAGAATACTATTAAAAATAACAAAACCAAGAGCAAAAGCCAGAGAAATCAATAAATTGAGATCAACATTTAGGACTTGGTGAGTGTTTTCACCTTCTCTCGTGAACCTCTTGACCAGAAAAGTCTTTCCATCTGGATACCTGCACCAGCCAGGAAGGCCAGGACAAGGAAGAGTCTCGTTGTATCTCAGTCCTGATAAAGCTGGAACGTCAATAGTCAGCTGATTGACCGCCAGAGAGGCGTATCTCGTAGGCAAGGCTGTGGATACAGCTGCAATCCAATCAGGAAGACTTCGCAAGCTTCTAATCCCTCCGGAACCAATTATCAACGCAATCAGCGTTATGTAGAGGACTGTTATGGCACCTGTCAGGGGTCGTTTAATGATCATGAAGAAAGCAATCGTCAGTTGCTCAGCTGCTACGTAACTGGCCCAAAGGGCACCTGATGCATACGCCCAGGAGACGAGATCTAATTCAAGGATTGGTGTTAATATTCCCACGGTTATCAGTGTTGATATGAAACTCAGGGGAAGACTTAAAAGAGTGTAGGAGGAGAGGAACATCGCCCCTCCGTACAGACCCTCGCGTTTTTCTTGATAATAACGCGCACGGAATCCAGGATCTGAAAATTAAATATAAGCATCTTCATTAAAAAAATAAATAAATATATTGAATTTAATTTTCTCCCCTACGCTGATGGTTCTGGTTATTAAAAAAAAATAAATTACATAATAATGCAGTTGTGCCGATTCCAGCCATGTAAAATAACGTTAAAGTGTTGAATACTAATCCAGTAGTTTGCATAAAAACTCTTGACTGCATCGGACTTGAGTGTGAGTATAAAACGCTCAATAATGCAAGGCAAAAGGGTAAAAGGAGGAGTCTTGCTGCAAAGTGTCCTAGGCCGCATTTGTTGAAGGAGAAAGTCGCCGCCATTCCTCTCCTGTAATCCAAAATAAAATATCTAATTAATTGGCTGATATTTCCATAAACAAATGTACTATTCCGCCATAAAAAAGGTGAAGAAGACAATCACGCATTAAATATTAATACAGACAAACATTTTTAACAGTAAAAATGAAAATAATAATTTTCCTGGAAATGCGTAATATGACATTTGACCTATTTATTATCGATTGGATGAGTAATCGTTGGAGTTTTTTTAACTTACAAGAATAGAGCTAAGAGGGTGGAGAAACATCCAGGACGGATTCCATGGCCCAGCCCACATGGCTTATGTAAATAGCCAACAGGTGTTTCTTTGACACTTGCCGCTGCCTGTGGGCCCTCGCGCAGGTATAATCCTCCCTCAAGCTTGAATTTGTCCACCAGAACGGATATCTGCTGGTTTGACTCCATAAATCGATCTCGAGAGCGTCGATCAACCGTCGATAAACAAACTAAACATAAAATAAATAAAATCTATAAATTATTCAAGTATTGCGAAATATATCTCATATATATTCGACGTATC